ATTTTTTACATTGATGAGTTTTTTGAATTTAATTACACTGGCCATTTTTAATTACATCTGAAAAATATAATTCCTTCTGTATATAAAACATACCCAAATATTTAATCAAGTAAAAATGTGCAAATAAAATTTGATAAGAATTGCAAATATTTAAAAAAAAAATTTTTATAACTGTAGCAAATACACAAAAAGTATAAAAAATGAGGACTAACGGTAAAAAATTCGAATACTGAAATTTTACTAAAAAATTACTTTTAGAATACTGCTAGCTAAAAGCGGAGCATAGAACGGAAGAATAGCGAAAAAAACAACGGTAAATACAAAACTACTACTACTAAAACAAAAACTAGGGGTATAATAGTCAGAAAAACCCAAGTTCCATTTTTTAATATAATATTTTTGTTTTTATTTTTTTTTACTTGTTTTTAATTTTTCATATATTTTTGTCGTTTGTTCATTAGAAATAATAATTATTATAAATTTAATTCTCTATTTTTAAAGCATTTATTTTTTTGTTTTTGTTTTAAATGTATATTGTATTTAACAATTAATTCCACGCTAAATATTTTCTTTTAAAATTTACAACATGGTTTGACTTAATTTGCGTTAAAAAATTAAATAAAATTAAAATAAGGCAAACAAGGCAAACGAAAAAAAAACTATGTTTACATATTTTTTTATATATAAAACTAGCTTCTTCGTTTCATGCAGATATGTTTACATAATATAATTAAATTTTTGTTAAATAAAATAGTTTGTGTGTGAGCGTTTAGGTATATAATATAAAGTGATTAAAAACAAATATTTTTTTGAAATTTCTGCTATAGTGAAAAAGCTCATTGGTGCACACGCAGGTTTAGTACTTGAGTACGCATTAAAATTAAGGATTTTCACACTAGTTGTTTGCTATTACATTAAGCTCAGCTGACGCTTGACTACATGAGTGTTTTTACTTTACATGGGCCATTAAGTGTTAAAATTTTTGTAATTCTTTGAAATATTATGTAGGCTCTGTTGACGGCACCGCGGTCCACATCAGTATCAGTCAGCGGTTTACCCTGTTAGTTATCGATTGTTTCGATACATTTGCACGCCTCAAACTGGTTCCAAAAAGCGTTCCAACTTCAAAGTACGGTCCTCAGCTTTCACCACTTCAAAGGGTAAACAATTGCGCTTTTAATTTTTTCTTTTGCAAAAATTTTAAAATTGACAACCTTTCAAATAACACGAAATATGGATGGAAGTCAACAACTACACTATTAAATTAAAAAATTTTCGTAATTTTTTTTTGTTTTACGAAAAGATCAAAATTGCCAACTTTTGAAATAACACCAAAAATAGACGCATTTTGTGCAGAAGCTGAGTGTGTGTTGTGCAATAGTTGCATAAATTAACGAAAAAGTATTTTTTCTTTCTAGTATGTATGTTTTTAATAATTTCCGCCAGCTTCTCATAAAAACAGAATTAAAGCAGCGCAATTGTAGAAGTTTAAAATCGTATACAAAACAGAAAAAGAAGTTTGAAAAATCAACTACAAATTTAATGCAAATTTTTTACATAAAATTATGAATATATTTATAGAATTGCTTTCGAGTTTTGCTTCTATTACTGAAAGTACGGCTTTCTTGTTGCTCAATTGCGCGCTGTACTTTACTTATTTTTGTTATTTTGTTGTTTTTTTTTTTTTTTGCTTTAAGAAATAGTTGCTTGGTTGTACCGCTTTCTGCTGCTACATCTTATGCTTCTAAGTTGCAATTTTGTTTGCTTACAGTGCTTCGCTTATAATACATATTTTTTGCAGAAATTGTGCTTTATTTAAATTTATATCTTTTGCTTTTTTACTAAATATATATAAATATATTATATATGTATATTTAGATAGATATAGTGATTGTTGTGCTTGCTTTATTTTTCTTTGCTATTTCTTTTTGCTCTTGATTTAGTTATTTTTTCTTGTTGCTTCTCTACGTTATTATGCATAGGTACAATTTTATGATTTTTGTTTCTGTATTTAATATTGTTAAAGAAATCTTGTTTGTTTTTTATATTCTTTTATTATTATAACATAACGTAAGAAAGAACTATGCCACTATGAATCTGTAAAAAAATAAAAATATACAAACATATATATATTTTCAGATAAAATAAAGAAAGGGAAAGGAGTATATAAACACAAAAGTAGAAATTTTAGTCTAACTTAGTAACGGAGTGAGT